TTACCCATATTGTCCTAAAGTGCGTTATAGCTGTTTTTTAAAATCAGAATCTAGTCAAAGTTGGTGTATGGTGTTATATTTCTTCATTTTCTTTTAATATAGGTAAATCTCACCACTTTTTCCACTATGGAATTGATTTATTGATGTGACCAGTGCAGTTGTAAGACATTTCTAGTTTTGTCTGAAATTTTTCCTCAAGAAATTGTTTAATTGCTATTTCCTGTGAACTTGAAGTTCCGTCTAAAGACTTGATTAGATTCAGATTAAACCTTCTTGGTAAGAATTTACTTCATAGATGATGCCAAGGCCAGCAGGAGGTCCATAGTTCTAAATAGTTACAAGTGTGAATATGTGATTAAAGTGATAATCACCAGATCTTTCCAATAAATCTGTTATTTATGGTGAATTAGATGAATGGATTTCCTGACATTCCACAGTCCTTGCTTTGATAGAATGAACCTCAGTTGATCATGACATCCCTGTTTGTGAAATTGGCTAGTTGTGTGTGTTGTTTGTGTGTATAGTCTTTATCACGTTTAGTATCAGCACCATGTTTATAAAGTATGTCACAAGTTTTCATTTTTTTCCCCCTTCTCTGTATAGTTTAAGTAGCAAGGAATTTTCTAGCCTTTGAGTATTTGGTCTGTTCCTCTGTGAAACATCCTAGGCATGGTGACTCTTTCGGGTATGGTAGTTCTTAGAAAAAGTTATCAGTTTCCTCTGTGGAAACTGATCTGTTTAAATTTTCAACTCACTCGGTAGAGAAAGAATTTTAGGAACTTTGTGTAACAGCTAGAAAGTTATCCATCTCTTAAAAAATTATCCATTTCCCAGAAATTATCCATTTTATAAAGATTTTTGTATTTGCATGGAATTTGTACAAAATAGTCTATTGTGATTTGATTGAATTATGTTTTCAGTGGTTATTTCTCAACTTGTTATTTATTTTGTATAATTGTATTAGCTAGTAATTTTGTTAATTTTGCTTTTCAAGGAATCATCTTATTTATTAGGTCTTTATTTTGGTTTTTTTAATTCAATTTTTGCTTTTATTGTTTTTTTCCTTCCTTCTATTTTGGCTAATTTGCTTTCCTTTTTAAAATCTCTTTAGTTTGATGTTTTATTTCCATTCTTAAAGTTATAATGATACAAGTATTGAATGCTGTGAATTTCTGATCACTGCTTTAATTACATCCCATAGATTCTGATATGTAGTATTTTCCTTATCATTTCTAGAAATTCTATAACTTCAGTTTATATCTTTCTTTTGATATAAGAATTATTTAGTAGAGAACTTAAGAAGATGGAAGAGCCTCTTTATTATTAATTTCTAGTTTTATTGCTGGCTCATGGTAACTCTGTTTAACCATTGGAGGAACTGCCTAAGTGTTTCCTGAAGTTGTTACACCCTTTTCATTCCCTCCAGCAGTAAGGAATCTCATTTCTTCACATCCTGGCCAACACTTGTAACTGTATGTCTTTCTGATTATGGTCATCCCAGGGAGTGTGAAGTGGTATTTAACTGTGTTTCAGATATGCATTTCCCAGGTAACTAATGGTGTTGAGCAACTTTTCATGTACTTACTAGCCATTTGTATATCTTCTTTGGAGAAATGTCTTTTTAGATCCTTTGCCTGATTTTTAAAATAGGGTTATTTATCTTTTTATTATTAATTTGTAAGAACTCTTTAGAAATTCTGATACAAGTCCCTTATCAGATATATGGTTTGCAAATATTTTCTCCCATTTGGTGCCTTGTGTTTTTTTGTTTGTTTGTTTGTTTTTTTACTTTGTTGATCATGTCCTTTGAAGCAGTAAGTTTTTGATTTTGATGTAGTCCAATTTATCTATTTTATCCTTTTCTTGATTGTGTTTTTGTGTCATATTTAAGAAGCCATTACCAAATCTAAGGTCACAAAAATTTACCGTTACGTTTTCTTTTCTAAGAGTTTTATAGTTTTAGTCCTTGTATTTGGGTCTTTGATCCATCCACATTGAGTTAATTTTTGTCTATGATGTGAGGTGGGGGTATTGTTTTTAATATCACTTTTCACATGTTTATTGCTACCACTTAAAAATTGGCTTTTGAGTGTGATCTTGACTCCTGGGACCTTGCTGAATTCATTCATTATTTCTGGGAGTTTTTTTGCATATTCTTTGAGATTTTCTACAAGGAAGATTTTGTTGTTGCAAATAGAGACAGTTTTATTTTTTTCCTTTCCGGTCTGTATATCTTTTATTTCCTTTTCTTGCTTTATTGTGCTGGTACATCCTTTCCTTGTGTGATGTGTGATCTAAGGGGTAAGAATCCAGTCTTTTACCATTAAGTATGATGTTAGCTGTAGGAAGTTTCTGTGGGATGATCTTCATCAAGTTCAGGGAAGTTCACATCTACTCTTAGTTTGCTGAGATCCTTGATGCCTTTAAGTTTCCTCCATGCCTTTTCATGGCTTGCTAGGTCATTTCTTTTAGCACTGAATAATATTCCATGATCTGGATGTACCAAAGTGTATTTATCCATTGACCTA